ATCTTCTGATAAGCCACACCTGTTCTCAGGTAAATACCAGGAGCAGGTGTGACTCATCAGAAGCCAAGTAGGATAGAAAACCTACTGGATAGTAGCTCTCCAGGACTGGAGTTGGAGACCCCTGACCTAGAGTGTTAAGTCAATGAGTCGCCACCTCTTCCTAGATTGCAAGCCCATATGGGTGGCACACAAGTACAACATGGGTGGCCCATATCTGCCCTATTTTAATGTACTCTCATTTGAACTCATTAGGGCATTCAGCTGCTGTATTTTACTAACCTACCATAATATGAAAGACTTAGACTAACATAGCCTTTTCTCATTTAAGCATGACTAAGATGGGTTTTTTCAATCAAGATAAAAAAGAACCCATTAAGCTCATCTGAGAACTACCTATGATATATAAACGAGTGAAATGTATGGCACCAGTTGCCAAACCCAGATTATGAAGCTAGACTGTGTTAGACTGCACGATAGAATTATTTAGCATGGCTGAGAAAAGGTGAGAGCTATCTTAGGTTGAAGGACTGCATTTCCGCTAAAGCGGATACGATGGGTGGTGGCCTTATTGTTTTTAGACCACAACTTGGAATAGAATAACAAATCAAATCACTTGGCTCATTTTATAGTCAGATTTTCATTAAGCTTCATTTTTATAAATCCACCATGATTGAGGATGGTATGGCACTGATATTAGTTTTGACCACATTTTATTATAAGCTTTTTTGGGTTGGTGTATGCTAGTTAGTCTGAGTAGTGTGCATCCCCGAAGAAATCTGAATTCTAGAGGTACATGTGGTCTGGATGCTTTTCCTAGAGAGCCCAGCTTTAGAGGAGGAACAAAAAAAAAAAAAAAGATTTTTCCTAGCGTTTTCCTCCCATCTAGTGCCTTCTCTAATTAAACCATAGAGACTAAACCATCTCATTGAGTCATTGGCTAGCCCACAAGAGCCATTTCTGTGGTTTTTATTCTCTTGCCCTATTCATCACAATCGTGGTGGATTAAAAAAAAAATCTTAAGTCAAAAACTGTACTGTGTCATGCTACGCAAATATACATCCAGCACCATTGGTCTACAGGGGAGTGGCTGGTACCAGGAGCTGCACAGAAAAGGGTATCACAACTGTCCTAACACCTTTCCACATATGTTAATCATCCAAGGGCAGGACTGCTAATCAAATGCACCCCCACCCCATTAAAATATATACCACTCTGGAGACATTGCCCTGTACGTCTCCAAGAGTTCTTCTCTGACTTGACGCCAATATACTATAAAACCACATATCTTGGGGGGGCGGGGGACCACCAGAAGCACAACTCTCTAATCTTCAGGATCAGTCAAAACTGAACCAGCAAAACTTCAATACAAGACACGAAAAAGCTGTAAGGTCCTTTTTGGTCAGAGTCTTTCTCATGGTGGATAAATCTGGGATGGCTCTTCTGATCCTTATGACTTCTTGTGCGCATATTAAAATGGGGCTGATATGTGGAGGTGGAGACTCACTGATTTAGCACCTATGGTGTAAATTGAACACTATTACAGTTAATAAAGATTAACACTGTAAAAACAACACTCAAGGCACACCTTTAAGTGTGAAAGGTAATACTGAATAGTGTGGGCCCATATAAACACCATACAGTGTTAATTTGCTGGCACATTTGCTGTGTAGGTGTAGGTAGATTATAAATAAAAATGCTACACACAAGCAACAGCTTACAGGAGTTGAACCAGTAAAAATAATTACACATCATTCGTGATGGAGCCTGTACTATCGAATGATATTTGAACTCGGGAACTTATCGGAGATGGCACGTGAAGGCAGCATTAGCACCCTTGCTAGGAAATGCGACAGAAAGCTATCATATTAGCAGGAACACTGTAAGGTAACCTTATGGAAACAGTGTGGAGCAAATACATAATCTATACTTAATAAATTGAAGAACTCACCATGAATTAATGTTGATTGACCATCCCCAAGCGTAAATTGATTCAATGTTGAATATTTTCAGTAATATCGATGTTGACTCAGCATCTTATTTTCAATGTTGAAAAAGTCACTTTATATCAACATTGAATCAAGGTTTTGCCAGCAGCAATTTTTCAATATTGAAAATCTGGCCAAAAATCAATTCAGATTCAACGTTGATAATTTAACACTGACCATAATTCAACACATTTAACTATACTTCAACGCTGAAACAAAAACATGATGCTATCTGGGAAGCAGCCCCACAACATGATAGAACCTCCACCATGTTTTACTGTAGGTAGCATGTTCTTACTCTTATGGGTTTCATTATATCAACTATAAACAAACTGAGGCACTACATTTACAAAGAGCTCTACTTTGGTTTCATCTGTCCATAAAACATTATCTCAGAAAGACTATGGCTTATTTAAGAAAGCTTCTGTAAACATAAGTCTTGCCTTTTTGTGCCATACTTTCAATAGTGGTGTCCTCCTTTGCCTTTGCTCATGCACTTCTACTTGGTTTACTGTGTGGCTTATGGTGCAGGCAGAAACCACCGCTCCAGATTACTCCAGATCAGCATGCATTCAAATGCATTCCAAAACATTCTTCAGATGTCTTGCGCAGTATTTTTTCCATAATCCGCACCAACCTTTGCTTTTCTCTCTTTGAGTGTCTTCTTGGCACCATATCATGAAGATGCTTTCATGATATGGTGCCAAGAAGAAACTGTGAAATAATGTTGCAAACTGTTGAAACAGGAATTTCAAGTTCTTTGGCGATTGCCTTGTATCCTTTGGAATTGTTATGATTTTAATAATACCAGTTCTGATGCTCTCAGACAGCTCTCTTTGCCATTGTGAAAAAGAAACTGGAGGCAGTCAGCCACTTTTTATGCAGTAAAACCATCATTCATTACTTAATTCAGGTCATTTGAACACAATATTAAGCACAGGTGAGTCTTATTTGTTTTCTTGTTTGAAGAAATAATTAAAAATCATAAAAGGGTGCAAATAATTGTGTCCAGCGCATATTTTATCTCAATGTTTTTATTCCACTACATGAAATCTTTGTTTTGTTGTTGTTTAATTACTTTGGACAATTTAACTAAAATTGACAGGTGCCAAAAATCCTGACCTGTATATAGGAGCAGGTCCCGGTAAAGTAGGAGTTTAATTCCCCGGTGTGGTAGAGGTTAAAGTTCCCTATGGAGCACGTTGGTGGTTAAACTCCTGTTGTTCTGGTGGTTTTTTAATTATTTTTTGTGCTTATTTTAATTACTATCTGACTGTATGGTTCTTAAACCTGCTCTCTTTACCTAGACCAGCAACAGAAAAGTAAATTGCCCCCTGGAGACCAATGAAGTATGTTTACCAACCCGCTCACTATCCAGGTGAAAATCTAATACTACAAATATAGTTTAGTATTGTTTCACTCTGCACCACCTTATCTCACTCTAGACTCACATTAGAAATACTATGAATTTTTTTTTTGTAAAATGTACAAATATATATCTATATATAGCATATTTTCCTTGGAATGATTAACATAGTAATAAAGCACTCCAAACTCACCTCAAAAAGAAAAGTTCCATATTTATATATGTGTGTGTGTGCGTGTATACTAATGTTTAAAAAGTTGCAGATTTTGCATTATTCGTTAAATATAAAGCTATTTAAAAAGTGAATCACAATATACATTAAAAAAAGAAAATTTAAAGTATGATGGTAGAAAAAATGCAATATTTGCCATTACCTTGTCTCTGTCACTGTATAAAAGACTCTGCGCCTCTGATAATGAGAGTATCTACTGTATCGAACACAATGTTCTGGAATCCCTCTAGGTGTATATAGCACTATGTATGTAAAACAGAATGCAAGTGTTATATTTATTTTACCCTTCTGTTCTGCATTCTTTCAGGAAGTGGACAAACATTTACATACTTGACTAACTCAAGGGGAAGGAGTGTCATATTGTACTATTTATAAAAAACAGGAACTTGAGTCAATGTTTTGTGACACATTGTGGAAGAAATGCAAATTCTACATTGCTGTACTTTCTAATTTTATACTCTCCAGTCAAGAAATAAAATCTAACATAAATAAAGGATCTTGCTTCCTTTGCCTTCTGGTGTTAATTTTAATGCTAGTGTTTTAATAAGGGGCAGGGTAGGATGCTGGGATGGAACTAAGTCAGCTGACAGGGACGTACAGTAACGCATGATTACTGATATACATGTGGAAGTTAGATTTAAGCTTTAACCCCATAACAAAGACCCTTTAACAAAGACCCATTACAGCCCATTATATGATCCACCATCCATTCACTTTTCTTATACTGTATATTATCCTTCTGCCGGTGCCAAAATGCCTGTCTTTTGTTTATCCTGTTGCTTTCTCCCAGCCAACATCACATGATTATTTTCACCATCCCACACAGAGCAATCATATAATGGGGAATATGGATGCACCATAATAAACTGTAATGTCCCACACTTAAGCAGGAGATGGGATCCAGAGGGTCAATGCCCACAACACAAGAAGGTCTCTAAACCTGCCTTTTCCCAGTCAAATCATCCATCAATCCATCCATTATCCATACCGCTTAATCCATCTGGGTTGCGGGGAAGCTGGAGCCAATCCCAGCATCATCGGGCGAGAGGCAGGGTACACCCTGGGCAGGTCGCCAGTCCACCACAGACAAACAGCCACATACACTCACAGTCACACCTATGGGCAATTTAGAGTAGCCAGTTGACCTAATCTGCACGTCTTTGGACTGTGGGAGGAAACCCACATATGCACGAGGAAAACAAAC